TGACCAGGGCCAGCTTTAAAGAGCCGGGGTTGCGGGGCTTGGGGCCGGGCCGGAGGTGCCCGGGCGGCGCGGCCGGGGGCCTGGGCCGGGGTGGCTGGGGCCCGGGGCCGTGCCTCCCCTGGAGCCCCCCCTCCTCGCCCCCCCCCCCCCACGCCCCAGCTTACCTGCTGCTGCCTCCCGCTTGCCCCTGCTTCTTTTCAGACTTCCCGCGAAGATCTGATTGGCGGGAAGCAGGGGAGGAGCAGGGGGGCGGAGCGTTCAGGGCAGGGGAGGAGGGGGAAGACAGCTGCGGGGCCGGACAGCGTGGTAAGGCTGCAGGGGATGGGGGGAGCCGGGAAGGGGCTTTGGCTGCCGAGCGGCGCTTGGCCGCTGCTTTTCTATCTATAAATAGCCGACCGGGGGGAAATCCCGGACATTTTTAGATTTTTAAAAATCCCCCCCGGACGGCTATTTATAGACTGAAAAGCCGGACATGTCCAGGGAAATCCAGACATATGGTAGCCCTAGAATTTGTGATCCACTATAACCCCCAGATCCTTTTCACCAGTACTATCACCTAGCCAATTATTCCCCATTTTGTAGTTGTGCATTTGATTTTTTTCCTTCCTAGTATTTTGTCTTTATTGAATGTTATCTTGTTGATTTCAGACAAAAGAACATAAAAATGGCCATACTGGGTCAGACCAATGATCCATCTAACCCAGTATCCCGTCTTCTGACAATGGCCAGTGCCTCTGTCCAGTTCTCCAGTTTGTCAGGGTTGTTTTGAATTTTAATCCCCTTCTCCAAAGTGCTTGCAACCGCTCCCAGCTTGGTGTCATCTGCAGATTTTATAAGCATACTCTGCACTCCATTATGTAAGTCATTAATGAAAATATTGAATAGTACCGGACCCAGGACAGACTCCAGTAGGCCCCCACTAAATACGTCCTCCCAGTAAGACAGTGAAACATTGGTAATTCCTCTTTGAGTACAGTGTTTCAACCAGTTTGCACCTTCCTTATACTAATTTCATCTGGACCACATTTCCCTAGTATGCTTATGAGAGTGTCATGTGGGACTGCATCAAAAGCCTTATTCCTGGGGGAATTCTGCGCCACTGCGAAATGCAGAATTTTGCAGAAATTAACGTTGTGCGTGCAGAATTTCCTTTCTCCTACAGAAATGGGCTGCAGTGTTGCTGGCTGCCATGAGGGGCAACTGGACCTGGCAGAGCCCAGCTTGCACATAGAAGACACAGCTGGGGGGAGGGGAGGGAGTTAGAGGGTTCCTAGCAGCTGCAGTTCCTAGCATGCCCTGAGGGAAGGAGAGGGTGGCACACAGGAAATCCACACAAGCCTGGGACTGAGCAATAGGCTGTTGCTCTCTCTGGATCCCTGGGCTCTGGGGAGGGGGCAGGTGTCTGGGCTGGGGGGGTCATGGCTGGGGGCGGGGGGAGTATGCTGGTATCTGGGCCAGGTGGGCTGCGCGGCTGTGAGTGCAGGGGTTCGGGTGTATTGGCTGGGGGGGGGGGGGGGGGGG